TTAATCATTATTAATTTTGTTTTGCCTATCTTTAGGCAATACGGTTAGTGAAAGCTGCATGGGATGCTATAAGCACAAAAACTTTAAAAAATTGTTGGCATCACACTAGAATCTTACCTAGCCAACATCTTGTTAAAATTTTATCAGAATTGGAACCAGAGCCTAATGAAGACCCTGAAGCTCAAATCATTCAAATTCCTGAAATTATTACAACTCAACATGAGGCCCAAAAAGTTATTGACCTAACTGAAGACCCCTACTTTCGATGACTCACCCAAGACTATCTTGATGATGATGAGCCTATTGAGACTGAAGAAGCTTTGGATGATGAATAAATCATAGAATTGGTTAAAAACCCAATTGTTAATGATAATAGGTCTGATGACCAAGTAGATGAAAAACCCAAAATTACCTTTGCAGAAGCCAAAAGCAGCCTTAACCAACTTCTTACCTTTATTCGCTAGCAATCTTTCCAGACTGATAGTTTTATTAAAGAAAATGATAAGTCTTTTTTTTATAATTTTCTTACCTGAACACATCAAGCTTTCACCAAATTCATGAAACAAAGCACTCTCGAACATTTAATAATCTGTGAACATACTGATCACCCTTAATTCTATAATCAACATGGAATTAAAGTATAAACATAAGGCAGTTATTTATTGCCAAAGTCTAGTATAATTTTATTAATATAAAATTATAGTTGAAAATTAAAAATGTAAGGCATTCATTTATTATTATAAATAAAGCATATGGAGGCTAAGCAATTTTGTCTTTAATTTTGGGACTTCAAAAGGCTTATTTATTACTGTATAAGTGTCTATGTCTTGTGCTATAATTGTTACGATAAATTTCACTGATTTTCTAGTTAAGTCGCATTATAAAATCTACATCTAAAACTATTCATAATAAATAACACACTTTTGTTAGTAGATCATATAGGTAGGACTAGTAATTTTAAAATATTGATTTAACGATTCAATAAATGGGTGTTGCAAAATGAAAGCTGAATAAAAAAAATATAATGCTGTACCATCTCGAAATAATGCCCCAGGGCGTTATTTTGAGAGGCTTAATTTATTAATTAATTTGTCCGAAGATTTTTCTTAAACTTTAATATTAAATAGATAGTAAGTTTAAAAAACATCTTTGGCCAAATTAACCATTGACTTGTTTTATATTAGACCCCTCAAAATAATGCCCTGGATGTTATTTCGGGATGATATAGTATCTAGTAGAGAAGTAATATAAATATGTATTACAAAATATTTATGTAATAGAACTAGAACGCTGATTGTACACGTATTTTAATGCATACTTCCTAGTGAAAATTTATTTTTATATAGGTTTTTATTTTGCAGCATTTAAATCTAAATTTATATGATTTTTCATATTAGTCACAAACTCGCAATAGTCCCATGAAATTCCTGATTATACGATGTGACTATTGCGGAAGTTGACTGTACTTTTCTCAGTCTTCTTCTTTTGTCTAGTTATATAGATATACTGTTCTTGACTGTCTTTTCCTTTTAATCTCAGCTTGCTGTTTTTTGTCATCATGTGTTTGATCCATATCTCTGCTCTTACTATTTTATGATCAATTTTAGTAATTTCTTCTGCTTCTTTAATTTTTGCTTTTTGTAAACCTGAGGCCAATTCCTCTAATACCAATATATAGTCAATTCTTGTTGCAACTTCTCCATTTGATTATGTATACTCTTGGCTTGTCAGGTATATATCTCTGTAAGTATCACTGAAATTTTGCTTCTTCATCCAATTAAAGATGGGTAACCTTTTGAAACTTGCTGCTTGTGAGTGTTGTTTGTCCAATACATTATTTACAATATGATTAAAATTAGTTAAAATTACTATTTGTATATGTTTTTTCCTTTTTGCAACTATTTTTACTATTTTTTGTTGAATGTTTTTTCTTATTGCCTTGTTACTTGGTGGTATATAGACTCTTAGGACTACTAATTTTAATTGCTTGAATATAGTATAAGCTTTATTAAATATTTATTTATCTTTTTGACTGTGTCCACATGTTTTTCCTATTGTTACCACAACTACAGAGTAACGGTGGTTTTGTGTTGCTGAGGCTTTGTGTTTTTGGCAGTATTTCACTATTCATAGTACTGATTTTTGATGAGCATCTCTTTTTTGATCCGTATGAGGTCTTCATTTGATCCGTATTAGGTATTTCGTTGTTACACGGGAACAATGTCGTTTTGTATGGGTGTTTTTTTTTTTATATTATTATTACGTATATGCATTGCTGCTCATTGCTACGCATTGCTGCTTATTTGCTGCTTATTGCTACGCATTGCTGCTCATTTGCTGCTCATTGCTGCTCATTACTCATACGTATGCGTATACCACTTCATTTCATTTCGCTCAAAATAATGATCTTATTTATATCAAAAATATCAAATTGATCGTGATGATTTGCTCTGTTCGTTTTTTTTTCAGGGTTTAGTCGATCAGGCTTAGGAATTGTCGATTATGTGCTGTTTGCTTCGAATAGGTGGTTATCTTTTTATTCATTCTGATTGTTTAGTTAATGATCGGTTTGGATTATGTCTTAGTACTTTTTACTGATTATATAACTTACTTATTTTTATTTATTTTCTTTGGCTTTTGATTTTATTGTCTCTTTTTTTTTTTTTAATTAAATAATAAGATCGTTGTATTGAATGAAGATCATTACGACTTGTTTAATAATATAATGTTCTGTTTTATTATTGTTTTATTCTAGCTTATTTATTTGAATGAATTCTTCTTTTATGCACTCTATTTTAAGACCTATCTTCGATATGACTACTGAGTTTAATGATAATCATTCGATTTGCTTTTATCAATACTATTTACAATGCTTGAAATGAAAAAAACGGTTCTTGAAACGAGAAATCTTCTCTGTATTTATTTTGACCTTTTGATTATCACTATTTATTTATGTTAATAATTATCCTTTCGGCTTCTCTAAATTTGTAAAGTATGTATGTTCATGAATGTCTATTTGATTGTTGGATATCTGTCTATTAATATGTTCTGATTTATAGTCTCTTGTGTTGTTATAAATACCGTCGCTTTGATCTTTTTTTTGATTTGTTTTCTCTCTAAAATAAATAAAAAAAAAAACTAAAAAAAAAACTAAAAATAATAAAAAATTCCCTGTCAAATAATAACAATTTGATAGATAGATTACTATTCTTTTCCTGTATTTAAAAAAAAAAAAATGTCTTCTGTCTTTATTTTGTATTGTTTTGTTCAAACTGTTACCGGAAATAGAAATTTTTTAACTGGCACTGCATTGTATAGAATTAATACTATGATCGATAAATATAGACAGATTACCTATAAGGGTTATATGAATTGTCCGGATAATTTAATCACTGAATTCGAAAAAAATTGGATCGTTTTATTCGTAGGACGATATGTATATGAAGATGATGTTGAATATGTATGTGTAAAATATCTACTTTAAATTTTAAATATGACTAATTTTTTTTTTCCTCTTAAGATCACTCTGATCCAAAGTGTACCTATGCCTACCGAAAGTGATGTTGAATTAACTCATGATGATCTTCCTTGGTCGGCACCGATGTTGATTTATTCTTCGCCTGCGGTATCTGATTCCTATATCGATAATGACGGGGGCAGAAAAAGTTTTGAATTGCATAGAAGATCTTATAATGAAGTCACAGGACATAAAAATCTGGAATCAAATGTAATTGTATCATATAGCAATGATCATGGTCGATACAATACACTAAGAGATAATATTTCAAGAACAGTTATCTCAGTCGTAGGAAGATTGAAATTAGGTTCAAATAAAATCCCGCATATTGTGGCATCTGATATAGAATGGAACTATATAGGTAAATCTTCGAATGTATCTATTGACAAAAATGTACCTTCGCAAGATGACTTTGATAATCAGTTGGATGATATAGAAGAAAAATATGCCAAAAAAAAATCAGCTTCCAATAAACGTATCAGAGTCAATCCACCAGTCGCTTCTTCCTCAAAAGTACCAAAAGATGATAAGTTATCGAATGCTCAGTTTTTAGAAGCTGCTTCGCAAATCAAATCTAGTATCCCGGCCTCGGATAAAGTTTCTGATCTTACTAAACAAGATTGATTTTTTTTATTCTTTTTATTTTAATATTAAAAAAAAATTTTTCTTTATTTTTATTTTTTTTTCTTTTTTCTATTCAGGTAATAATCGATTACTGCTAATCCTCTTTTGTTTATCAGAATCGACACTTAATTTTCAGATTTACACTAGAGACAGTTTCGTTGCCATTCATGTTGTCGATCTGGCTTGGTTAATAAATGTTATTTCATTTTTATCAAAAAAAAATAGATTAAATTTTTTTTTTAATAATTAATAAATAAACATTTATAAGTTTGATTCATATAATTAGATTCAATTTGTTTAATTCGAATAGTTAATTTGAGTTTATAAATAATGTTAACTATTGTATAAAATTTGTATCCTGATTAAATATTATTTAACTACAGATCGATTTGATTACTTTAATAAAAATTCAAGTTTTATGTTTTTGAATGATTCTTATCTGATTCAAACATTTATTCGTCCTTAATCATCTATTTGTTTTGATTTGCTTGACTGTTATGTGCAAATAAATAGAACGTAAATCATGTCCGCCTCTTAAAAAGATGATGAATACTGTATATTTGATATTATTAGACTAGATACATTAAAAAGATATCATTTCTTTAATGTTTTAATAATTAAATAAATGTATGTTCTCTTTCCTGATTTACTTTTACTATTTATACAAATAAAAAGATAAAACTATTATAAATAGAATAACTCAATCTTTAATTTCATACTATCGAATCTTTATTTTTTCTTACAGCACACATTTGTTTGTGATAACATCTGATTTCTTATATTTACTATAAAAATCGTTTTGAAAATTTCCAAACTCTATGGATTCGCTTATTATTTTTGAACCATACTTCAATCGAAATGAAATCAATCGAGGTTTGTCGAATGCACCGTCCCAAGTCAATTTTTCTACTTACGATGATACAAATTCTTCATCTTTCCCAATTCCTGATTCGTTTCCTTCATGGGTTCCATCACCTAATCTTGAACAGCTTTTAAATGAATTTCAAAATAAAATATTATTCGATTATCTGAGTGTCCCATGCGCATACTGTTCGATGCTTATGATAGAATCAGCTACTGTATGGATTCCTTATGATGATAATGAATCTTATACGTTAACACAAATAT